CATGTGTGTATTTACGAGCCATCTTTATTTTTCCTTTGTTTATTTTGATTTTCTAAACATTAACAGGTTGGATCATACAGTTACAGATACCATTTATTGCCTGATACCATTTATTGATATCATCCTTAATATGTATTCTGTGTCTCTTATTAATGAAAAGATTCATGCAGCAAGAGAAACAGAACAAGGCTGCTTCCAAGTAAAGTAGGGCAAGGTTGTATACTGGATCCATCTCATATAATGCAATTTATATGTGGGTGGCATTCTAAAGGAAATAAAAAAGAAAATAAAATTAAGTAATAAATAGATACAGTATAAGCAAAAACAGCAGCCATAAACAAACAACAAACAAAAATAAATAAATAATACACAGGTGGTCAAAAGTTTGGAATAATTCATATTTTTGAAAGAAAAATTATACTCTTATACTCAACAAGGCTGCATTTAGTTGTATTTTTATTTTAAAAATTTTTACAAATAACTTTTTTCTGTTTTAATATATTTTAAAATGTAATTTATTCCTGTAATAATAAAATAATATAGAGATATATTAGAATGATAGAATTAGAATAATATATTAGAATGATTTCTGAAGGACCGTGTGACACTGAAAACTGTAGTAATGATGCAGAAAATTCAGCTTTTCATCTCGGGAAAAAAATTCTCATTTTATAATCGTTACTATATTATATTATATTATATTATATTATATAATTATAATTTTATCATTTTAAATTGTAATAATATTTCACAATATTACTGTTTTTTTCTGTGTTTTTGATTAAATAAATGCAGCCTTGGTGAGCATAAGAGACTTCTTTCGCAAACATTAAAAATCTTAATCATTCCAAACTTTTGACCCCCAGTGTAAATATATAAACAACATTTTAAATAATACTAGTAATGAATAAGGATATAAGTAATAGTTGAATGAATACATATTTACCGGCCATCTTTTTCCATTTAAATGAGTGTGTGTGTGTGTGTGTGTGTGTGTGTGTGTGTGTGTGTGTGTGTGTG